GGTCTAAAACAGGGCTCGATGACGCACTGGAGCTCTTGGACACGCCCCTACTCGATGACGCACTGATACTGATCCCTCTAACAATATAAATAGAGCACATTCGCATCAGTTTGGCGCTCATTTGCGAGTTACTGTCAGTACTATTATCAGTTACTACAGCCTACAGTTTGCTATCTAGCCATGCCTTCGTCACGGAAATGCGTACTACTTGGATGCAATCATTTGCAAAACAGATCGGTGTCCTTGTTTAAATTTCCTAAAAACGACGACATCAAGAAGAGGTGGATTAATTTTGTGAAGAGCCACCTTGATGGAGAGCTGAGGATCACCAGCCAAACCCGCCTCTGTAGTGATCATTTTACTCGTGATAGTTTTATAAACTTTCGTCGGAGACAACTGGGATTCACAGATAATCCGTTGTTACTGGTGAAAGGTGCCGCACCGACTATCTCTCGCCTCGGCCTTCATCCTCCCGTCCCGCCGACAACTGGCGCCATCATCGGCAATGCGTGCCCACCAATGAGTGTAAGTTGCCTTGTGTGCTTGTTATAATTATAGTAGGTAGTCCACTGTAACTACTAAATTCTGCAACCCTCTAACGTGATTTTTATTTAACGTTATATGATCAAAATTCCTTAGCCAAGTAATTTAAACTAGTATCTGTTCACAAAGCAGTCCCTTATCTAATGGATTTATGCACATCAATTTATCGTTAATATAACAACCATGATGGCTATTAGTTTGATCTATAACTATAAAGTGTAAATATATTTTTTAATCAGTTGTTTATTGCTAGTCTAACTTAGTTTGATCTATAACTATAAGGTGTAAAAATATGTTGTTTTTTTCTGTTATTTATTGCTAGTCTAACTTTATTTGTCTAAGTTAGGTTAAGCTAGTTAACGTTTACTTACATATAACTTAGCTAACTTGCATAAAAGGGAGAGAAAAAATTTACCATTCTGTTGCAGAGCGAGGGGGACGATGTTGACTTCCTTGGTCAATGTCTTCTGAATCGGATTCAGGCTCTGGAGGCTCAAACAAATATGGCTTGGTATAACCTAATAAGCTGCTAGGAGCATCCATTTCGGCTGTAGCGGGTCCCGTCGAGTGCAGCTTTCCCGCGAGTGGGCGTGGTTTCAGCGCAGCCAGCGGACACGCCCCCAGCGTTTGAGAGCAGAGAAAACTGCTCATTTTTTCAAGATTTTGATAGCTTATTTTATGTACTTGCCGGCTTTTTTTATCATTCAAATTTGGCTGGGTGGCTAATAACACATTTTTCTGTGGTGTGACAAACTCAGAACACATACTTAATTTTGACTTTACGGGGACTTTAAGCAATTTTGAGCGTGGCATGGTTGTTGGTGCCAGACGGGCCGGTCTGAGTATTTCACAATCTGCTCAGTTACTGGGATTTTCACGCACAACCATTTCTAGGGTTTACAAAGAATGGTGTGAAAAGGGAAAAACATCCAGTATGCGGCACTCCTGAGGGCGAAAATGCCTTGTTGATGCTAGAGGTCAGAGGAGAATGGGCTGACTGATTCAAGCTGATAGAAGAGCAACTTTGACTGAAATAACCACTCGTTACAACTGAGGTATGCAGCAAAGCATTTGTGAAGCCACAACACGCACAACCTTGAGGCGGATGGGCTACAACAGCAGAAGACCCCACCGGGTACCACTCATCTCCACTACAAATAGGAAAAAGAGGCTACAATTTGCAAGAGCTCACCAAAATTGGACAGTTGAAGACTGGACAAATGTTGCCTGGTCTGATGAGTCTCGATTTCTGTTGAGACATTCAGATGGTAGAGTCAGAATTTGGCGTAAACAGAATGAGAACATGGATCCATCATGCCTTGTTACCACTGTGCAGGCTGGTGGTGGTGGTGTAATGGTGTGGGGGATGTTTTCTTGGCACACTTTAGGCCCATTAGTGCCAATTGGGCATCGTTTAAATGCCACGGCCTACCTGAGCATTGTTTCTGACCATGTCCATCCCTTTATGGCCACCATGTACCCATCCTCTGATGGCTACTTCCAGCAGGATAATGCACCATGTCACAAAGCTCGAATCGTTTCAAATTGGTTTCTAGAACATGACAATGAGTTGACTGTACTAAAATGGCCCCCACAGTCACCAGATGTCAACCCAATAGAGCATATTTGGGATGTGGTGGAACGGGAGCTTCGTGCCCTGGATATGCATCCCACAAATCTCCATCAACTGCAAGATGCTATCCTATCAATATGGGCCAACATTTCTAAAGAATGCTTTCAGCACCTTGTTGAATCAATGCCACGTAGAATTAAGGCAGTTCTGAAGGTGAAAGGGGGTCAAACACAGTATTAGTATGGTGTTCCTAATAATCCTTTAGGTGAGTGTGTGTATATATATATATATACACACACTCACCGGCCACTTTATTAGGTACCCCATGCTAGTAACGGGTTGGACCCCCTTTTGCCTTCAGAACTGCCTCAATTCTTCGTGGCATAGATTCAACAAGGTGCTGGAAGCATTCCTCAGGGAGTTTGGTCCATATTGACATGATGGCATCACACAGTTGCCGCAGATTTGTCGGCTGCACATCCATGATGCGAATCTCCCGTTCCACCACATCCCAAAGATGCTCTATTGGGTTGAGATCTGGTGACTGTGGAGGCCATTTTAGTACAGTCAACTCATTGTCATGTTCAAGAAACCAATTTGAAATGATTAGAGCTTTGTGACATGGTGGAAGTAGCCATCAGAGGATGGGTACATGGTGGCCATAAAGGGATGGACATGGTCAGAAACAATGCTCAGGTAGGCCGTGGCATTTAAACGATGCCCAATTGGCATTAAGGGGCCTAAAGTGTGCCAGGAAAACATCCCCCACACCATTACACCACCACCACCAGCCTGCACAGTGGTAACAAGGCATGATGGTTCCATGTTCTCATTCTGTTTACGCCAAATTCTGACTCTAACATCTGAATGTCTCAACAGAAATCGAGACTCATCAGACCAGGCAACATTTTTCCAGTCTTCAACTGTTCAATTTTGGTGAGCTCTTGCAAATTGTAGCCTCTTTTTCCTATTTGTAGTTGAGATGAGTGGTACCCGGTGGAGTCTTCTGCTGTTGTAGCCCATCCGCCTCAAGGTTGTGCGTGTTGTGGCTTCACAAATGCTTTGCTGCATACCTCGGTTGTAACGAGTGGTTATTTCAGTCACTGTTGCCCTTCTATCAGCTCGAACCAGTCTGGCCATTCTCCTCTGACCTCTGGCATCAACAAGGCATTTCCGCCCACAGAACTGCCGCTCACTGGATGTTTTTTCTTTTTCGGACCATTCTCTGTAAACCCTAGAGATGGTTGTGCGTAAAAATCCCAGTAGATTAGCAGTTTCTGAAATACTCAGACCAGCCCTTCTGGCACCAACAATCATGCCACGTTCAAAGTCACTCAAATCAACTTTCTTCCCCATACTGATGCTCGGTTTGAACTGCAGGAGATTGTCTTGACCATGTCTACATGCCTAAATGCACTGAGTTGCCGCCATGTGATTGGCTGCTTAGAAATTAAGTGTTAACGAGCAGTTGGACAGGTGTACCTAATAAAGTGGCCGGTGAGTGTATATATATGGTGAAATGTGGAAATCACATTATATGTACTTTGGCTGCAAAATATTGTTACATTTATGGTTTGTGGATGTAAAAACTATGAATTACAATATAGTATGTAGTATAGTGTGTAATCATCACATATGATTATATTTTGAATAAATAATTTAGTTTCTTCTTATTTTGGTCATCAGTAATGTCTATATGGCATAAGAGTATTTTGAGTTCCATTTTCTGTTATTTTAATGAATGTTTATTGGATTATTTTAGTGTCATGTGTTTTCCCTGATGGTGGCCAATGTAAACATATTGGTCATGTTTTATGAAAAGGGCATTTTCAAAGGCAATGAACTCGTCATCATGTGGCTTTGTACCACCTGTATTGTTATGGTGGTTATCAGTACATTTTAAGCTGAAAAGATTATTTTTGTAGTTTAAGCAGCTTGGTAAATTAACATTATATCAGTAAATTAAATGTATGGTTATAAATAGTAAATTTACAGGCACAAATATGCCATTTAACGTTGAATTTAACAGGATATTTTTTATTAGTGCAAAACCATATCAAGGGCCCACCAAGCAGTTGACATAACCTCAATAATATTTAACAATAAAATTAACATATCCTTTAAATAGACAAGTATACACTTGTTTTTAGTGTCTTGAAAAACAGGATTTCAAGTAATCTGACAGTGACATCACTGTGTAAGAGGGAAACTCTTGCAGTAACAATGAACCTTCCAGTAGCCTTAGGCATAGTGTAACTAGATTTACACAAGCAAATTCTTGAGAAAGATTTGTAAACTTAAATGCAAGCATATCGTCTAGAAATATTAACGAAATGTTTGTCTGGGGAATTGATTGACTTTTTACTAGAATTATACAACAAAGAAATGGTCTTATATACAAAACATAGAAAGAGACATTTTCCGATAAAATACTATAATTTCTGCTAATTATATAAAGTTACAGAAGCTCTACAGAATAAACAGTCAAAGAGCTCTCACACACACAGGGAATGAATGATGGCAGCACATCTCCAGCTTTCCCTATGATCTCATCTGACTCTTTTTACAGCCTTGAGCGGTTAAATTCTTTCTATTATCAAACAGGCCAAATGAATACAGTCAACCGTGCCAAACGTTCCGCTCGAGTTTCCTTTTTGATAAAAGGATGTCTAAAAGAGGTGATTAATGAAATAACACATCAGTTAATCTAGCAAGTTTGAATGCAGCTTATTCTAACAAACAAAAGAATAGCAATAACCGTAATGAAAGAGTCATGCCTTGAATATGTGTCTGGGTGTTAAAGTGACAGAGGGGAACGTGGAAACTTGGATGTCTCAAACTTGAAATTAGTACGGTCCTTTTAAACAATAGGGTTAAGACTCACCATTGTTGGTGTGTCGGACACAGTCTTGAAAGACGGCGTTCCACTTCTGCTGCTCCTTCTCGGTCACCATGCAGAAATAGTAGTGGCGAGCATAAGGGTGCCAGAGGATGAGGGGAAACTGCGTCGCACATTTCAGGAATGGAGAACTGCCAACTTTAGCTTTTACACCTGGAAAATGCATGTTGCGTGATTCAATAATATTCTATTAAATATGGCCTGATGAAAAGATCTCTACAGCCATCATGATCACAGCTTTACAACATACAAAGATCACAGTACATTTCTTCACACTCCATTTCATCACTTCTTATCTGGACTCTGGCTCAACATTACTCTCCATTTATTTTAAATACAGGCTGCAGGTTCAATACAATAAATAAATAAATAAATAACTAATATATATACACTCACCGGCCACTTTATTAGGTACACCTGTCCAACTGCTCGTTAACACTTAATTTCTAAGCAGCCAATCACATGGCGGCAACTCAGTGCATTTAGGCATGTAGACATGGTCAAGACAATCTCCTGCAGTTCAAACCGAGCATCAGTATGGGGAAGAAAGGTGATTTGAGTGACTTTGAACGTGGCATGATTGTTGGTGCCAGAAGGGCTGGTCTGAGTATTTCAGAAACTGCTAATCTACTGGGATTTTCACGCACAACCATCTCTAGGGTTTACAGAGAATGGTCCGAAAAAGAAAAAACATCCAGTGAGCGGCAGTTCTGTGGGCGGAAATGCCTTGTTGATGCCAGAGGTCAGAGGAGAATGGCCAGACTGGTTCGAGCTGATAGAAGGGCAACAGTGACTGAAATAACCACTCGTTACAACCGAGGTATGCAGCAAAGCATTTGTGAAGCCACAACACGCACAACCTTGAGGCGGATGGGCTACAACAGCAGAAGACTCCACCGGGTACCACTCATCTCCACTACAAATAGGAAAAAGAGGCTACAATTTGCAAGAGCTCACCAAAATTGAACAGTTGAAGACTGGAAAAATGTTGCCTGGTCTGATGAGTCTCGATTTCTGTTGAGACATTCAGATGTTAGAGTCAGAATTTGGCGTAAACAGAATGAGAACATGGAACCATCATGCCTTGTTACCACTGTGCAGGCTGGTGGTGGTGGTGTAATGGTGTGGGGGATGTTTTCCTGGCACACTTTAGGCCCCTTAGTGCCAATTGGGCATCGTTTAAATGCCACGGCCTACCTGAGCATTGTTTCTGACCATGTCCATCCCTTTATGGCCACCATGTACCCATCCTCTGATGGCTACTTCCACCATGTCACAAAGCTCTAATCATTTCAAATTGGTTTCTTGAACATGACAATGAGTTGACTGTACTAAAATGGCCTCCACAGTCACCAGATCTCAACCCAATAGAGCATCTTTGGGATGTGGTGGAACGGGAGATTCGCATCATGGATGTGCAGCCGACAAATCTGCGGCAACTGTGTGATGCCATCATGTCAATATGGACCAAACTCCCTGAGGAATGCTTCCAGCACCTTGTTGAATCTATGCCACGAAGAATTGAGGCAGTTCTGAAGGCAAAAGGGGGTCCAACCCGTTACTAGCATGGGGTACCTAATAAAGTGGCCGGTGAGTGTATATATATATATATTTATACTTACAGTGCAGGGCTGGGTAATAAACACATATGGTTTTAAATGTCAGAGCCACATGACTTAAACATTATACACGTGTTTACAAGAGTCTCGTGTGACAGAATCGCTTACTGACCTTGTCTATGTAAAGTTATCTAATCTTTCAACTTCATTGTCATGACAATGTGACCCGAGTAAAACCAGTGAGCCAGTGACTTTCGCACAGTTTTTTTAGAGCTTTCTTTATAGAACTTTCCTTTAGGAACATTCCTTTAAGAACTCTCATTCCTCCCTGAGGTTTTCCCATCTTTATTTCTCATTTTCCACTCTCTCCTTTAGACTGACCTGGTAGGCTGGTGTTAAGGAGCTCGAGATATTCCTCCATAGAGGTCAAGACCCGGTAGCCAGCACAGTTAATGGTGCCTTTAGGATGCAGCCCTCTGTCATGGGCCTAAATCAACAGAAACAGATAACGTAAATAAAAACATTTCAGCAGTTTAATTCATTTAAACAAACAATTGAAGAAATGTTTTTACTTAACAAAATAAATGAATAATATATTAATTAAATAATTAATATACTATTCATTTATTTTGTCATTCATTAATCTTATTAAATAAAAACTATTTATTTAATTAGGTAGTAAAAACGTTAAAATGCATGATTATCAGCCAAGGCCTTTTTTTTTATTATTTGGCCAAAAAGTTGCTTAGGTTACCTGGCAGATAATATTAATCCATTACTACTAAAATGTAGTTCATTTTGTTGAATTTTGTTGAGTTTTCATTAAACTCATTACCTGTTTGTTATCATAATAGTTGATGTTATAGGAGTCAGGAATAAAGAGAAAACGATTCCTCCATTTTTTGTTCTCTTCTAGATACTGAAACAAAGTCCCCGAAAAGATGGACTTATTCTTAAGAGGCACCTATGAAAGAAACACAAGAATTGAAGTGCGGTTCAAACAAGGTACTGTTTAAGCAGAAAGATAGAATGAGAGATGTCCCTCTATTTTCAGTGAGGACCCAGTACCTAATTATACATTATGTAGAGAGATGTTAAGACTGGAAGTAGCCAACTTAATTTATGTTTACTTTGCCCACCCAGTGTCTCTGTCTACAGACATACACGCACACACACCCCGATTGACGAATAAAAAGTGTGCAAACTGCACATCTTTACAGGGTCATACTATGATAATACTACACATTTCAAATAAACAAGTCTGCATTTGTTCAAACAGAGCAATTATCCTTAATTCCACTTTGCTATTTGACAATACAGACATCAGTTCTGGAAGAAATTACCCTGATATAAATAGTTTCACTTGCTCCTAAAAGAAAACATATACAGCTGAAAAAGAGGAATAGAAAAAGGCAGAGCTTTACCTTCCTGTGCAGAAGCTGAGGCTGAGGGCCTCCTCCACCCTCTACGTCATAGCGCATCTGGTTAAAGAGAGCGACTGCATACTGCTGTTCATATAGCCGACCAAAATCTCCCATCAGCTCCCCTGTCCGTGCTAAAAAAAGACACACACACTTATAATATGTAATATTACAGGTACATTAGACCTAATGTTTTTATTTATTAAACAATAAAGGAATTGGTATATGCAACTATCAACTATGATCAAAACAGTTGTAAATATATGCAAGCGTAACATAATTGCTCAACCAACTATAAAGGCCAACTTCTCTATAAAGGCATATCGACATGAAATTTTCGCGTCATAAATAGCTAAAACGTAAACCCTGTTACTTTTTTTCATAGGAAGGATGGAAATGGAGAAGGAACCTTGGAGTGAAGTGACATCAAAAACTTAGAATAAGGAATGATTGACAACTCGTAAGAAATTTGTTTTATAAACAGTTTTTGTTATACTGGTTGAAACTCTTCACATCCTAATAACAATCAATAATAGAAGTGGTCTATTAAACCATGTACATATATCTTCTGTGGAAGTCTCAGAACCAAAACATTTTCATCCAATCATTGCATTCGGTCCGACCTGTCCGTCTCAACATATGTACTTCCATACCTCCGCGCATTTCATGAGGCTAGTATGCAGAGTTGTAGACAGACAGTCACCGAGCGCCGCAAACAAACAGCAGCCATCTTTTACCGTTCCTCCTGAACGAAAACAACGAGCTTATGCTGCGTTCCCACCATGTCGCAACTGTTACGAGATGGCAACCAGTGACGTTCTACCCAGAGCTGTTCACGTCCTCAGACTCGGATTTATGCGTTTCTGTCAACACCGAAATTAATCTGCAGCAGTCAGGTGGTACAAGTAAGAGCTATGTAAGTTGTTTACGTTCATTATTATTGTAATTAGGGCTGCCCCCTCATATTCGACTAATCCTTAGTTGACCAAAAATTGTATTAGTCGCCGGTTAGTAGACACTTATCTCCCGATTCGATACTATCACGATACTTCAGTGCCGATACGATATGTATTGCGATTTTTTTAAGAATTGCGATTCTACAAGTATTGCAATTCGATATTGCTATATATTGCAATTTTTTTGACACTAGATGATTCAATAACAAACATTTTTTAACAGTCACTTGTCGCCATTTAGTGGCGAAACAATGTAATCTATAAATGCACCAAGTTTCTATCAAAAGCTGATTTTGATCGCTATCGTAGACATCAGTATTCATATTTGAACTTTAAACTTTTATCCAAGTACTTCTATGATAATTTTAACTATTGCATCACAGAAATAATGATACTATTAGGTTGAAAAGACTGTTTGTGAAGCTGTTTCATGACAACTCACTCCGGGTCAACGGCAACACAGCTTTGAATGTTGCAATATGATTTTGTCAAAGTTTAATAGACAGACGAATTGAAAGATTGCGTGGGTGTTTAAATTGAGATCACAGTCTTTTAAAGATGAATCTCTTATCTCTCTCTCAGCAGTAGCGCGAGGGCTTTTCAGTGCAGTCTAACGGCGCTTCCACACGTCCACTTGGGATATTACGTCACTCAACACTCAAAGAAAATGACATTTCATCCTGTTGGAACGAAAGTGGCTAACTTCTGTCAACCTCATCAACAAGCAATAACAAAAATGAAGCAATTGAATTTGTATTAATATCGATTCTGGAATAAAGAAATGGATTTTAGAATCGTAAAAAATAAATAAATAAAATATTAGTCACATATCCAAGTTTAAGTATAAGCTGAAGTATAAGCACCCTTCATGACATGGAGGCGTCAGCGCGATACCTTGCATTTTTTCTTGACAACAGCGGAAACAACAAAATACTGTCATTTTTGGTCATACAGATAAGAGTAATACATATTTCGAAACTGTACTTTTATTTTTGGAAACTCACAATAACAAGAAAATGTTGTGCCTTTGTAAAAAAAAAAAGAAAACAAAGAATATATGCTTTCTGCCGTCTCGGTCTCTGAGCATGTCAAAATAATAAACCAAAACATGAGAAATATATCTATAGAAAGCTTGAAATGTCAAGCGATTGTCAACCAATTCAAGTGAAACGTACATAGGAGCGTCCACTACAGAGATGACGAGTCAGCATCACTTAATCTCTGCAACCGAAAACACAGAAAACATTATCAATAAATTATTAAAATGTTTAGACAGTCTCCTTGCTGTTTTTTCACGAAATATTCATAATCACTTTTGCCTGTGCGCTTTGTGACAAGGTTAAGTACGCGCTTTGAGCTCTGATTAGGCTTACAATTAAAGGCTCATTATTATGACTTACACCCCTCACATATCAACAAACATTTTAGTATATTTTCTCAAGGGACAATACTATAGAAATGGAACTTGGATATATGTTAGAGTAGTCAATGTGCTGCTTGTATAGCAGTATATTTACTATCCTCTGAAAATAACTCAATATACAGCCATTATTGTCAAAATAGCTGGCAACAAAAGTGAGTACACCCTAAGTGAACATGTCAAAACTGTGTCCGACTCCAAAGTGTCAATATTTTCTGTGAGCACTATTGTTCTCTAGCATTGCCTTAAATCCTCCAGGCCATGGAATTCACCAGAGCTGCACAGGTTTTTGCTGGGATCCTCTTCCACTCCTCCATAATGACATCACGGAGCTGCTGGCTGTTAGACACATGGCACTTCTCTACCTTCCGCTTGAGGATCACCACAGGTCCTCAATAGGGTCCAGGTCTGGAGACATGCTTGGCCACTCCATCAACTTCAGCTTCCTCAGCAAGGCAGTTGTCATCTTGGCGGTGTCTTTGGGGTCGTTATCATGCCTTACGGCCCAGTTTCTAAAGGGAGGGCATCATGTTCTGCTTCAGAATGTCACAGTACATGTTGGAATCCATGTTTCCCTCAATGAAGCACAGCTCTCCAGTACCAGCAGCACTCATGCAGCCCTAGACCATGAAGCTACCACCACCATACTTGACTGTAGGCAAGACACAATTTTCTTGGTACTCCTTACCAGGGTGTTGCCACACATGCTGGACACCATCTGAGCCAAACAAGTTTATCTTAGTCTCATCAGACCACAGGACATGGTTCCAGTAAGTCATGCTCTAGGACAGGTTGCTTTCAGCAAACTGTTTGTGGGCTTTCTTGTGAGCCAGCTTCAGAAGAGGCTTCCTTCTGGGACTACGGCCATGCAAACCGACTTGTTGCAGTGTGCGGTTTATGGTCCGAGCACTGACAAGCTGACCACTCGCTTCTGCAACCTCTAAAGCAATGCTGGCAGCACTCATGCGTCCGTTTTTTGAAGCCAGCTTCTGCACCTGACGCACAGCACAAGGACTCAACTTCTTTGATTGACCCTTGCGAGGCCTGTTTCAAGTGGAACCCATCTTGGAAAACCTCTGTATGACCCTGGCCTGTACTGTAACTCATTTTCAGGGTGTTACCAATCTTCTTATAGCCTAGGCCATCTTTGTGGAGAGCAACAATTCTCATTCTCAAATCCTTAGAGAGTTCTTTGTCATGAGGTGCCATGTTGAACATCCAGTGGTCAGTATGAGAGAACTGTACTCAAACCACAAATTGTAACTGCTCTAATACAAGATACACAAATTTGTATGGTCCTGTCAAGCAGACAAAAACATGAACATGATGAATAGGACATGTGGCTTTGCATGGTTAAACGACGTACAGCTATTATCACTTAGGGTGTACTTTTGTTGCCAGCTATTTTGACACTAATGGCTGTATGTTGAGTTATTTTCAGAGGACAGTAACTGCTATACAAGCAGCACATTGACTACTCTAAAATATATCCAAGTTTCATTTCTATAGTATTGTCCCTTGAGAAGATATACTAAAATGTTTGCTGAAATGTTAGGGGTGTACTCACTTTTGTGAGATACTGTATATGGCTTATTAATATACGTGCAATTAGTCAACTTCTCTTAAATGAACGACAACTAATCGACTAGAAAAATCTTTAAATCGAGGGCAGCCCTAATTGTAATGTTATGTGCTTTGAGGCATGAGATAATTTAAAGCCCTCTCTCATGACGCTTTGCAGACTCTGCTGTGTGCGTTCATGTGTTTTGAAGGAGGCATGGATTTGGAGACACTCTGAAGAGGAATCTCATGCTTTTAAAGCTAGCTTGCTATTGTTAGCCTCTCTGAAATTGCCTACCCTACCTTTAATGTGAGGCCATTGACAAAAATACAAACTCAGAATTTCTGATTTTAAACACTGTTTTATACTGCATGTCTGGTAGTTTTCCATAGTAAGCATATAACTAAAGCCAAATAAGTTGATTCAAATAGTAACAAATGAAAATAAAATGTAAAAAAACATTTTATAACAATAATAAACAATAAACAGAGCAATTAGTGCACCATTAGTGCTCGGGCCCTAATTAAACAATGATAAAATGTGATGCAATAAAAAAAATCACGTGAAAGGCAGTTATATTAAGATTTTAGACTTACTGTAAGCAGCTGCAGCTGTACAACAGACAGTTGTGGTACAATAAGTCAATGGCCATTAAAACATTAACAGCAATTCACACTGAGCTCCGTGTATCTGATCAGAAGTGGAGATTACAATGTTTGAGCTTTACTGCTTTGTCCTTCACATGCATGTAAAAGCAGATCAGCACTGCAGTTGGCACAGGAACAAAGGCAACTCCATTATTGACTGCTTTCTGGTGGGATATTTTCCAAATGACTATGTAGGGCTTGTTGTAAAACTTTGGAGGCATTCAGTCTCTTGGAAAAATTCGAGGAAAGAGAACAGAAAAAACAACAACATTCCTGTCCGTTCGCTTACAATGTAACGATGCCATTAAAGTAGAGAGAGGCATGAAAAATAAAGCACTTAGTGATGGTCAAAGAGAAGAGAATAAAGGTAAAACTTAGTTATCTAATGCCTATTGAGGTTAGACTTAAGTCACAGAGATCACCTGCACATTAAAAATAACACCAGTTCTTAAAATAAAGATGAAAATGGGAAATAACAGTAAGCTAGGATACATTTCAATATTACATTTGATTGTTATGACTTATGTTTCATACAGGGAGAGACTGCAAC